GAGTGTAGAAATAACTAAAATTGTAAATAAATGGTATAAATTCATAGGAAGTCGTAATATAATACGTACAGAAAGTATTAAATGCTATTAAATTTGATATACGTGTAGGAGAGGAGCTGAACTTGTTTATACTTGTACTTGTACTTGTTTGATTGGGCCAAAAAATATGTAACACTTCGAAGAATTGGTCACCGACATAGGAAACTATATATGGATCTAGCTATGTATGTCCGACCATGTTAATTTGTAATCACCCTACAGGTAGCAATATGGTCCGATCCTCACGAAAAATGGTCAGATATAAGCCAATTGTTTTGGAAGATGATCGTTAATTTCCAGAATTTCCTGTTACTCTACAGGCAACAATTACAGACCAATCGATGCAGAATGAAGTTAGAGTTTAGGGCTGGGCAGAAGAATACCAATTGGTACGGTCATCGGACAATATTTAGCGGGTAAAAAAATATAAATTTTATGTAAAAATATACCAAATTTTCCCCAAACCGCGAATATTTTTAATCACTGCCAAATAACTTATACATTAAGAGGTTACTTCTGACCATTACAGTAGTTTTCATAGCCAAGTTATTTGATATATATGTAAAGTATATATGTAAAAGAAATAGATCTTATTTATTATGTTTATAAGTCGAGAACCGCTGGGCCGATTTTCACAATTCCCATTAATTCGGAATGGTCTCTTGCCAGAAAAGGCTAAAATCTAAGAAAATCGCGGAAAAATGTACCAATAAAAAGTGAATATCTTTTGTTCAATTTTTCACAATTGTTGTCATATTTTTTGTTTTTTAACTTGTCTTACAATTTTTAAGGGCCTTAAATACATGTCGAAATTATCGTCCGATCCTCGCGAAATTTTGCATGGGGGTAGGTTTAGGGTCAAAATTAAAGCCTATTGTTCTTAAGATGTGCATTTAGGGGTTAAAATGGACTAAAATAATTTAAATTTGACTAATTTTGTAGTCGCTCTATAGACCACAATTGAAAACTAATCAGAATTTCGCATCAGAAGAGAGGGAAGAAATCTAGCATTTGTATTACCATTGGATTATATTTAGCTGTAAAATGTAACACAACTTTCGTGTGAAATGGTTTTGAAAAACACGACGAATTGCTTAAATATTGGCTAAGGGTAACATCAATCATTATTATTTCAAAGACAAAGTCTTCCAAAATGGGGTTTCCAAGATATTGTGGTGTTGAAGGGTATCACATGATCGGCCCCGCACGGCTATAGCATTTGCTTACTTGTTTTTTTTTTATCGTATGTGATTTTTCAATTTGACTTACAATTTTGAAATTAATATTTTTTTTTTTTTGGTTTATTTTACAACCTACAACACTACGCATTGAGGGTATTATATACAGGTCGCAATTTCGGAATTTTTCATGGGGGTAGGGTGAAGGCCAGATTTTAAATCAAAAATTAAAAATTTCCTGATTTTGCTGTCGCTCTACAGGTCATAATTGAAAACCAATCGATACGGAATTTTGCATAAGTAGAGAGTTAAAAAGTTAAGGGCTAAGTACATAAGAAGCTTGAAGTCATGGCTTGGCATATTTTGTGACATTTCACAAAGGGATTACAGAGCCGCACTAAAATCCAGCCGTCGTTTTTCATTATTTCATTATAATTTGACATTAATATGACTTCAAGCTTCTTATGTACTTAGCCCTTTAAGTCTAGAATTTGAATACCTATCAGCACGAAGAAAGAAATACAGGGCATGTCCCCCGGTCAAAAACCAAACGTAACATTTGTGCAGGGCTGTATGGCATTACTTCAAAAACGATTTGGACATAAGGGGATTTGAACATGTTTTAGTGTTGTAGGGTATCATATGGTCGGCACCGCACGACTATAGCCTTTGCTTACTTGTTTTTTACTAGGTAAGAAAAATACAATACAAATGCTTATTTACACATTTAATTTATTTATTTATGTATTTTATTATTATTATTTTTTGACAGAAAATTGTATGAATTTATCATAGGTATTTCCCATGTATATTGAAATTATTATACCCTCCACCATCCTATGGAGGGTTTATTAACTTTGTCATTCCGTTTGTAACTTCTCGAAATACTAATGTCAGACCCAACAACGTATATATATTCTTGATCAGCTTAAAATTCTAAGTCGATTTAGCGATGTCTTTCTGTCTGTGTATCCGTCTGTCTGTCTGTTGTAGTCACGCTATCTTTCGAACGAATTGAGATAGAAGGCTAAAATTTTGAACACATGTTTATTTTGGTTAAGTTCGTAAATGGGCTGTTTAGATCCACGTTTTGATATAGCACCCATATAACGGTAGCTCTCGACAAGCGGTATTTTGATGATTTTAGCCACATTATTCACCGGAATTATTCCAACTTTGGTATTTGAAGTTCGAAATGGATACTCCAACCTATGACAGAAAATTGTCTGTGCAGGTCCACGTCTTAGTATAGCCCCCATATAACGGTACCTCTTGACATTCCGTATTTTGATGATTTTAGCGACATTATTCACCGGATAAATTTCGTATTTGAAGTTCGTAATGAATACTTCAACCTATGACAGAAAATTGTCTATGCAGATCCACGTCTTAGTATAGCCCCAATATAACGGTACCTCCCAATGTTCGGTATCTTGATAATTTTAGCGTCATTATTCACCGGAGTAGTTTCAAATTACGTATTTAGAGTTCATAATGGGAACTACAGTCTGTGACAGAAAATTGTCTATGCAGGTCCATGTCTTCGTAAGGCCCCATATGTCAGTACCTCCCTATATTCGGTATTTTGACGATTTTAGGTACAATACACACCGAAATTGTTTGAGATGTTATATTTGAAGTTCGTGGATGCTACAACCTGTGGCAGAAAATTGTCTTTGCAGGTTCACTTCTTCGTATCGCATCGATATAACGGTACCTCCCTATATACGGTATTTTGATGCTTTTGGCTATATTATTCACCGTTTATTTCATGTTTCGAATTTGAATATGGTAATGGCTTATGACAAACAATGCCTATGTAGGTCCACGTCTTATGGACCCCAATATAACGGCTATGTTTGGTATTTTTAAGATTTTAATAGAACTTTTAACGATTTTTTTTTTTTGAAAATTTTTAAATTTGTTCCAAATGGTGGAGGGTATTCAAAGTTCGGCCCGGCCGAACTTACTGCTTTTTAACTTGTTTGCATTATAATTTGAAATTATTATTTTTTGTTTAAATTCTATCTATTTGGGGTAAAAAATCGCTCATAAATTCAATTAATACAAATTGTGCAATCTTACGAATATTATGGGTTGCATTAAATTTGACCAGGGACGTTCGCTGCTTGGAGATGGTTTCGATTTGCATATCTGTGTACGTCCGTGGGACTTGGAAAGTGGCATCGATCGCTTAATGGAAATATCGTTATTTTACTTTATTTCTTTATTTATTTAAAACTATCTTAAAAAAGTCTTATATCCAAAGTTTACAGAATTTCAAAATATAGCAAATTTTTGTGGAATAATAGCACTTTTTCGTCCGAAACAGTGAGATTTTGAAGATAAGTAAAATTACCCTATAATGTAAGTGGTTCCACCTAATACAATGATTACACCGGTTCATTTGCAGGAGTTCAATGGAAGTCTATCAAATTTACTGCTACATTTAATAGCTTAATTAAATAACTTAACAATAGCAATATTAAAATCCCATAAATAAGGTACATATATAATTCTCTCTTTTCTTACAGTAGCAACAAAGGTATATATATGCCATCCAAAAAAAAAAAAAAAAAAAAAACAATTATAATTGGATTTAAAATGCACAAAACAAAACAATACATAAATCCAATTAAAATTCCGTAAGAGTTCTCTTGCTGAACAAAATAATTAAACGTGTATTTTGACACTAAAGAAAAATGTTTATATTAGAATTGTAGATGTATGCACGTGTATACATGTATGCGTTTAGAATTTGTGCTTCCATGAGGAAAATGGCATGGAAGTTACGCAAATGTGAATAAACAAACCAAAATACTATGATAAAAGAAAAAGACTATTCCATCCCACAACGCCTCCCAATGAGACAATATTCAATAAAGAGAAAAACACGTAAAAAACCTACCTATATAGGTATTGTATTGTAAGATAAAAATGAAGAAAGCCATTGAAACACAACCATCGAATTGCTGCTTTTCCAATAAGCCAAGAACTAGTCCAGTCCGCACAAGAGACAAAATTCATTCACTGAGAGAGGTAGTTTTCCCCTTAACATGGAAAAATCTAACTAGAATACCCATAAGAAAATTTCCAATTGCATTAGCACTCTAAGTTCCCAAGCAAATGGGAGAGTAAATGAAATGGAAATAGTAGAATGAGAAGGCAGAGAGTGAATAATATTTATTTGTCGAGTGCAATGTGAACAATAACGAGTAACTAGTTACTTAGTTCCATGTTTGACCGTTTCGTTTTTTGGCGGCGCTACTGTTTTAATACTTCAGTGGGTCATAGGCGTTACATGGGTCTCGTTGGAGAGGCGAATATGGCCATGTGCGTTAGAAAGAGAAATAAAGAAACATATTTTTGATAACCCCCTCTAGTGTTGGTTACACAAAGCGTGTGCATGCAACATAATTGTAACGAGTTTTATGATTAATGGCATTTCTGTTTCCAACAGCAACAAAAACAACCACCTTTTGTGCTTTAATGCATAGTTCTATCTCTTTCTTCTTCATGGACAACCAATGGAAAATAAAAGTAGTTGGTCGGTTTATTGAGCTTGCACAACACAAGTATGTGAATTGTTAAATATATATGTGTGTATGTGTTGTTCTCGGTTTTTATTTTGTTGTTGTTGTTTTTTCTTCGTACCACTGCTTTGTTTGATTTTATTTTCGTGAAATGTGACATGGGACTTATAGTGCTGTACTCTTCTGGTGCATGGACGGCGTTGCTCACAACCTTACGACAGCTCACAACTAGTTTGTGCTCGAACGTTAAAACGCGCGCATCAAAGCAAGAGAAGGCACGCAAAAACAAGTTTGAGTTTTCATACCGTCGTCCGTCGTCTTTGTCGTTTAGCAGCGGCAAACCAGTCAGTTTACTTAAACAGGAAACCGACAAATAGGAAAATCAACAACAACAGCAACTATCAGCTCCAATTGCAATGTAGGAGAGAAGAGGAAACATACAATACACACCACTCAAGTCTTCTCCAATACGAATTACAAGAAAAGACGCAACCCATAAGATAAACTAGAATCAAATTGGATTTACGCACATGGAACATAGACCAAACGTAGATGGCAGTAGTGGCGACGGCGATGGTGGCCAAGTGATCTTCTTATAGGATTCGTAAAGACGAACTAGCAAAATACCTACCGGATATTAGGCGTACACACTAGCTCTCGTTTACGGCGATACTCTCATTTATACAGATACACAACCACACATACACACGTGCGCCTCAGCTAGACATTTGGTGGTATGTTTATTGTCGCTACTTTAGCCGACTAAATCCGTACAACGCACTAGAACGGGCAACCGGATTGCCGTATGTCGAAACGAATTAAAACCAAATACCTGCATACGTAACGCAACATAAATGCAAGTGCAAAATAGCCGTCGGTACTTGAAATAAATGCATTAATTAAAAAAAAAACATAAAACAACGATGCGATAAATAACTTAATGCCATCGAAAAGACAAATAAAATAAAAAATAATCTTGACCTTGTCTATGAAAGAAAATCGAGGTTACATATACCACTATTGGGGTTAAAATGTACGTAACACCTATTCTAGTTAGAAGTCTTAAGACTCAGGCCAAAGACCGGCTTGTCGAATAACGTGTGTCGTTCCTATTATGACAAGCCCTTTTAGCAGCATAACAAAATAACAATAACATTAACGCACATCACACACATCTAGTTTGACCTTTGAAATGTCAAACAAGTGTCAAGTTATTAGTAGATGTCGGTGTTACAATTTGCTTTGACATTTGTCGGTTTCTTGTTTTTTTGCGTCGACTGTCTGGCCTGTGATGTTTTCTTTTTTTTCTAATGTTTGCTTGATTTTTACAAAAATTCTTTAGCCAATTTGCTTTTTCCTACTTGGGCTACCGTTTGACGTTTTGATTAAAAAAACACACACACATACAAATAGAGTCATATAAGCAGCAAAAAAAAAAAACAATCATAATATGCAAATAATCCTCTGTCAGCCAGTCTCCAAAATGACAATAGGTTTTGCTTTTGGTTATTATTTCCAGTGAAAAGTGTCAAATTTCACTCGAACATATTTGAAACGAAATAAAACAGCTATAAAATGAGTATCGGAAACTCATCATACAAAAATCAATGTGCTACTGCTAATATATTCAATAAACAAACATCAAGCTTCATCATCATCACAACGATTTTTAATTGACATTTTTCTTATAGTATTACCTCGACAGCAATGTTCTGCCGCCTGCAGTATAAATAATTTGTAGTGATAATTAAAAAGAAAATAAAAATTGTATATCATTATGTCATCTTATCAAATTGATTGTGGATATCCGACGGCAAATCAGGTAAGTGCCATTAGCTTTTTTTAAGATCAACTTTTTACGCATAAAAATGTATCTAATCTATAAATGAAGAAGAAGAAATTCAGGCATATTAGGTATGTTCTGAGAGTGGCGAATGAAAATACAGGGCATTAACAACTGTAACAACTGTATATACTGTTAGGTCCTTCCTTAATTTGTTTTTATGAGTTTTTTTCTCATTTTAACCATTGTAATGCAGCGACTTTTGTTTGAAAAATAATATACAAACCATGAAAACGCAAGAAAAAAAAAATAAACATTTGAAATGAATATTCGAACAACTTCAATTTTAAACTGCAAATGTCAAATCTGATGGAAAAATACAAATATAAACAAAAACAATTATTCTACTACAAGTCATGACCTTTACAAGGTCGGCCAGTAAGCCCATCTGACAACTAAGATTGCTGTCAAAAAACATCGGACAATATTCAGAGTGTAAAATGGAACATATCTTTTGTATACAAAAATGCAAACATATCTATTAAACTGCGAAGATTTTTAATCCCGGCGAAACTACGAATACACGTTAAGCTTACTTTTGATTTTTGTATTGATAATGATAGTCAAGAAGGGGTGTTAGTTACAACGTTGATATTTCTAGAACTGTTGGAGCTATTTTGACAATTTTCACCAATTCAGAATGGCCTCTCGACAGAAGAAAATATCATTTAAAGAATCGCACAAAAATGTTGAAATAAAAAAGTGAATATTTTTTGTTACATTTTGTGACATTTTTTGTCATTTATGTATCGCATAAGATATTTTCAATTTGACTTACAATTCAACGTACATTTTTTATTACACCCTACAAAACTATGTGTTGGGGTATTATGTGCAGGATGAGCTTATGAAAAAATATCAAGACTAATTTATTATATGTGCACATCTTTTGTAATAATTCAGAAATCTGATCAAATACTCCTTTGTGATTAGAGGGTGAAAAGAATCATAACTTTTGTATAAAACATACCAAGATTTCCATTACGCCACCAATATTTTTACATTGCTAATGTATAGCTAAATATGTGCAATGCATATTTAAAAGGAAATTATATTAGTTATTACACATATAACTTAACAACGGCTGGACTGATTTTGACAATTCTCACATTTGCAGTAAAGGCTAAAATCCAAAAAAAAAAAAAAATAAATAAATAAATAAAATCTCGTAAAATATGTTATTTATTATACCCTACAACACTATGTGTTGGGGGTATTATAAGTTTGATTGGGCCAAAAATTATGTAACACCACGAAATATTGATTTCCCACATAGGAAAGTATATATGGATCTTTCTATCTCGCCGAGCTGAGTCGATCTAGCTATGTATGTCCGTCCGTCCGTCTGTCCATGTTAATTTGTAATCGCTCTACAGGTCGCAATTATGGCCCGATCTTCACGAAATTTAGAATGGAGGTGGGGCTAGGGTCAGAATAGAACCCTATGATTGCCAAATGTTTAGGGGTTGAAATGGACCAAATACTGAAAAAATATCGGATTTTGCAGTAGCTATACAGGTCGCAATTATAGACCTATCAACGCGGAATTTCTCATGTACCTAGAGTTTAGGGCGGGGAAGAAGCCTACCAATTTGGGTGGTCATCGGATAATATTTAGCGGGTAAAATAGACCATTTTTTTTTTGTAGAAAAAATTCAAAATTTTTCATTCATTTTTCAATTCAATATTTTAAATCCCGGCGAAATCACAAAGCCATGTCAAGGTTACTTCTGATCTTTACATTGATGTTAACATCCAAAAAATCGAATATATAGCAAATATATGCTATATATATGTCTATCAAAGAAGATATGCTTGAAAGATCTCATATATGTCGAGAACGGCTGAACTGATTTCGACAGTTCTCAGTAATTCAAAATGGCCTCTTGGCAGGAAAGAAAAAACGTCAAAAAAATTGCATAAAAATATCTCTCTAAATATGAAAATATTGATTTTGTAAAATTTTCTCATATTTTTTCAATTTTGTCATATTTATTTTGGCATATTTTCATTTTGAATTAAACATTTGGTAATATTTCTACAGCTAACAAAACTAAGTCGTTAGGATATCATATACAGATCGCATTTATGGCCCGATCTTTAAGAAATTTTGCATGGGGATAAGATGAGGGTCAGAATAGAAGCCTCCTCTTTTTGGAGATGATCGCCATATATTTATAAAACTGCAAAATTGTCAGGAGGTCATAATTATCGCCCGATCCTCACGCACATTTGAATGGGGGTTACAGGACATTGCAAAAGCCAAGCAGTTTTGGATGGCCATCCAAAAATATTCAATGTGTGAAGGAGTTTGCCAACTTTTGTAGACAAAATACGAAAATGTCCATTCCAGTGACTTTTTGGAGAAATCACAAATACAGGAAAGACGCACTTCCGACTATTTCGTTAACGCTGATTTCGTTGAAGAATATAGTCAAATGTCTGTATCTCATATAGATGCGTTTCAGTCAGAAATATTGGGGAAATCTTTGGGGAATATATTCCAGATCTAGGAAGACCATTTAAGTGCAACATCTACCAATAAATTGGAAATGAGCAAATTAGTTTAAGTTGCTATTATTTGAACATTAGAGAACGAAACCTGACGGTTTTCTTTTATTATTTGTCACAATATCTTGTGGAATTCTTTCGAGTATTTCGCCTATATAAACTGTATCGTTTATTATAGTGTTGTAGGGTATTCAACGGTCCACCCCGCTCGACTGTAGCCTTTGCTTACTTGTTTTTTATTATATTTGTTATAGCATGAAATTTTTTAATTTGACTTTCAATATTGAATTGTACATTTTGAAATATTTTTTACACCCTACCGAAACAAAGAGGACGTTAATATAAGCATAGGTATTTTGGCCCATTCCCGGTGAAGCGCTTGCTTGAGGTGATCGACACTTTGATATTTTTTAGTGCCAATCAAAATATTCCATACACAATAGTCCATCGGATTGATATCCGGAGATTTTGGTGGCCATTGTGCGCTGGAAATGAAATGAGGAACCTCATTTTGTAACCATTTTTGGGTGGCGCGTGATGGTGCTGAGTCTTGTTGGAATGTTCAAGGTCTGCGGACAAAATGCTTGCGTGCCCAAGGCTTTAATACACTCTCCAGAATATTTCCGCGATAATATTTGGCATTTATTCTGATGCCACGGTCGATTAATAGGAGCGGAGAGCGACCATCGGCTATTATGGCGGCCCACACCATTACCATGGTCGGCGCTTGAGTTTTGGTGGCCAACCGAAGGTGCATATTTTCAGCTGACCTCTTTGGCAAGTAAACACGATCATTTTGTTTGTTTCAAATTAGGTATTTGAAGTTCGAAATAGATACTACAGCCTAAGGCAGAAAATTATCTGTGAAGGTCCACGTCTTCATATAGCCCCCATATACCGTACCCCCCGATATTCGGTATTTTTATGATTTTAGCTACATTATAAACAGATTTTCCTTCAAGTTTCTCATTTAAATATTGTAATAACTTATGACAATAGTTGCCTATTTAGGTCCACGTCGTCATATAGGCATTCGGTATTTTTAAGATTTTAACAGGATTTTTAACTGATTTTATTTATTTATTTATTTTTTTTGAAAATTGCCAAATTTGTGCCAAATGGTGGAGGGTATTAAAACAGCTTTTTTACTTGTTTATCCCTGTATTGTACCTAACAGAAAAACATTGCAACTACATTATATTCCATTGTTAATATATATCCCAGAATAGTAATAACGAGCTATTTTTATATTTATAATTTTTTTTATATTCCGTTTAGGAATTTCCTTACAAAAGAACTTAAATATTCACACAATTCAAGTATTCAATTTCACATAATTGCATTACAAGCATTACCCTCTATTGTGGTGCCCAAGGCTGCCATCCATGTTACTCAAGTCTACCAGCATCTTATGTGTATTAGACTTCTGCAGTAGTGGTAATGTGGATGCTGCTGTTGTTATATATGTATGTACGTATGTTGCATGTTCTTGTTGTTAGTGTTGTCTTCGCCAATGTTGCGGCTCCATACCATAACTAAACATCAATATGTAGTAACCAATTCATTAAATATTTTTCCAACTTGTTTGTCAAGAACACATCATCTTCTTTATCATCATCCGTTGGGTTTTTCTTTTTTTTCTACAATGCTCTTGGTGCTGTTGCTGCTGCTCTTTTTGCTTCTTCTTACTTTTTTTTGTGTCACTGTCATCACTGGCTGTGCCATTGACAATAGCCAGGAAGGAGTCATAGGAGCATATGGACATATTGGCGGCTTGACTGGCACTCGTGGTCGTGGTTTTGGTCAACATTTGATAATTTCTGCTCATATATCATCACTATAATGATGATCTGTCATAATTCCATCAGGCATATTTTGACAAGCACATGCATGGAATAACAAATAGTTGCCACAAAAAGAGCTGGAGCAATGTGAAGGGGCCAGGCAAACGATGAGAAAAAATTCAACGCCGTCATGCATTCAGCGATTCTGTAGACGGTTGCATTGCCGGTAACACAGTGCTCATATAGTTGATCTGTTTCCTGTCCATTGGCCAAGTAACTCTGGCCATGGAAGGAATAGCTCCTTGCTCCTTATATGTGACATGCCAATGATGAGAGTGAGAATACGATCGATTTATATCACACGAATCAATTTAAAACAAACTACCCAAGAATGGTGTTCACAAGCTTTGGGTGGCTGGCTGATGATGATTCTATGCCGACTGAATGCTGAGAATTGTTGGGTGCAGACGCATTTCCAAGATGAGAGAATCACGTCTCAATGCTTTAAAGCATGTGATGGGAATTTACATTGACATTTTCCGAATGCATAACGAGAAATGGAATAAGGTTCTTGTACATGGCAATATTTATTTTTATTCTTGCATTTTTGTTTTGGTCTGCTTGGCTGGCTGGATGGATGGTTGGTTGGCCCGTCCAATGATGGCATGTGTGTATTTGTTGTGG